TTCTGCTTATTTGCAGGAGTGGAGATAAGTCTCTTGTAGCAGAGTTTCTCAAGTTTATATGTCTTCTAAAAACCACAACCTGCTTTATCGTCCCATCTCCGGCTCCTTCCTGCTGGATCACCCTGTTGCCGCACCAACCCGACTTAACTCTTCCATCCACCACTTCTGGTTTCCACTTGCCTGCAGTCAGCCTGTGGCCTATTTACTGAAACTGTGAAACATCCTTTCTCAGTGAATCAGGCCGACTCTGTTATTTGTTTTAGGAAATTGCTAAAAACTAATTTTTATATATATTTTATCATTTTTGGCCTTAGTTTGCAGTCATGCATGTGTGTATGCGTGTATGTTGGAATGAATGTTTGTCATTATGGCTGATTACATGTCTGTATGTTTTAACATGTACACTTATTTTCAGTCTCTGGCTTTTATTTGAACTGTTAAGCACCTGTAATTCTGTTTTGAAAAGTGCCATATAAATGAAGTTACAATAATAATAACAACAACAACAACAACAATAATAATAATAATAATAATAATAATAATAATAATAATAATAATAATAATAATACTGCCTCCTCACTTTTTTTTAAACATATTTCCCTTTAGTCTCTAGCACAGTGTAGATTGATGACAGGGGAGAAGGCTCTGATAGGCCGGGTGAGGTCTGCAATGATACAGTTGATAATAAATCTGTTAGGATGACATTTGAGCACCTATACTGTGCAAAGTCATTGCTTATTACTAAAAGGCCAGCCAAGGCTAAAGGAGAAACCCACATGCTGACTAGTTTCATCACAGCTTAGCTAAACACTTACAGCGCATGAAATACAAACTTGGTTCAAAACTGGCACGTACTGTTTTCAGGAAGTTTTCCTGAGGAGCTGCGTTGGCCAGAGCTCGGCTGGTCGTTCTGCCTCGTAAAGCAGCATCAACCGAGTTGATGAAGCTGGACTTTCCAGAACCAGTGGGTCCATAAAGAAGAATTCTGAGGTACTGGATCTCACTGTTATGAGGCTGGTATGTATTTATGTACTGCAGATCATTCTCTTTGCTATTTGTGGAAGAACATTTGCGGTGTTAAAGCCAAATAAGCTAGTGATGCAGATACTTTATAGTTACAGTACAGACGCAGTTCAGAATAAGGTTAATGGTGACTGATTGCAGAAGGTAATCATTTGTAGTTTTAGTCCATGAAGCCAAAAAGCAAACACTGAACATCAGCACACACTCATCTTCATTCTAGTTTCCGCCATTCATTTTCTAAATCTAACAAAATACATAAAGAACATTAACTGTGCAATGTTTCCCAGTTGTTTTTGTGAAGTTTAAGCTTGATTCTCCATTTTAAACGTCTTACTCTTAGAAGACAAGGAGTCATCAGGTTGAGAGCTCTGTCCTCCCATAGCTACAACAAAGCACAATATTACAGCACCTACACAGGCACAAATATTATTTTTGAAAAGGGCCGCTGGCAACATCACCACAACATGTAGACCAACTAATGCTATTAACCCTCATCTCCAGGCAGAAAAAAATGCAACACTAAAGAGAAGTAACTAGTTACAACCATTATAGATGGTTTCAATGTCATAAAAATTAATTAATTAAAACTAATTAAGCTCAAGAAAAAAACAGGAAGTTGTACTGAACATTTTTCAGCCTCATTACCTCAAACAATGTACCAGGGGAAACTACTCAGCTGTGTATGCCTTTTGCTTCTCTCTAAAATAAATGTTTGAGCTGCTCTTTTTTTGTTGACAACTACACAGAAAGATTTTCTATTTTCATGTCACATTTTATTTAAAATGTATTTTCCCTTATCTTACTCCACGTGCTTTACACACCCTGGGATTCTCTCTCTACATGCTGTAGAGAGAGAATCCCAGCACGCCGTGGGATTATATCTAAAACTTTCACAAGGTTTTGTGTGTGTGTGTGTGTGTGCGTGTGCGTGTCGACCTTAAGCTCCCTTCATTTCTGCACAGTATCTTAGCTATTCTGTGTCTGCACTCTTCTGGACAGAGACCTCCAGTGTTGTACCTGGAATCTACTGGAGCCATTGGAGGACTTACAGCTCGCAATGCTCATATTACCACTAGAACTACTTCAGATGGTTCTAGCTGGTGTTTTCTCTGGGGTGGAATGATTGTACATAACAAACCTTTGAAATTTTTAAGTTATTAATTACTTTAATGACTTTACAAAACAAGACAAAAACTGATAAATGCAAGCTCGGCTTAAATTTGCAGCTGCCCACATGGAAAAGTTTACCACAGTGTTTGTCAAACACAGCGGTGGTAGCATCATGCTCAGGCTCTGTGCTGCCTGTGGTAGTGATACATTGTAGATTGAAGACAAAGTAGATTGATTAACAAAGAAGGAAGACAACCTCAACTTCACCTCAAATCAACAGTTGAAACTTGGATCTTCCAAGGACATTGATCCCAGACACAAGCCAACATTGTTTTTGAAATGGATAAAGAAGGCTGACATCAAACTTCTGGAATGTTCTTCCCAAAGCCCCGACCTAAGCCAACCTTTTTAGAAACGAACAAGTTTATCTGAACTCTTCCAATTCTGGTCAAATTAGCAGAATTATTCCAGAAGCTTGTTGATGACATGGGGATAAACATTTAAAAAAATATGTCAGAAGCTGAAGAACTACATGAAGAACAACAAAAAACAAATAATCAAAATGAAAATTCCTTGGCTTTGTAACCCTAGCCCTTTTCTCACAAGCTAATTAAAAAATTTAACATACCTTCAAACGAAAGTGCAAAATTGAAAATCAGTTAATTAGTTAATCTGTTTGTTTATTCATTAATCGTGTGTGTTATGTGTCAGACAGACACTTAATCACACAGTCAAACCGCAGTCAAACAAAACAAAATCATGTTGTTTTTTCAGGATGATTCCAACATCAGATCAATGATGAAATTAGCCTCCTAACCACACTCATTTATCTGTGCATTTAATTACCACAAAACAATATTCCAAGGATATTCCTTTATTGTCCGAGTTTTGCTGGTTACACAGAAATAATTTGGAAATAAGTTTAAGAGTTTGGGTGTCTAAGTAATTCAAAGCGCATTAGAAGTATTGCAATACAAAACTAGGTATACTAAGAGAAAACAAACAATAAAGATGATACACATGAAATATGATCCATATAAAATATCGTGTAATCAGTGGCATAAAATTATATGACAAAAACATACAAAGAAGTTTATGAAAAAAATATAATCTATTAGTATTTACAGATTTAATTTTTGTATTTGTAATGTTACAAATGTATCTGGTGTATAAACTCAATATTTATTTATCTCAAAATAATATCATGTCTAAATACTGAATTACAGCATGAGCAACTGCCCAGATTCACATCTGAGCAAAGGAGAAAAACTCATAACTACAACATGCAGCTGATAAAAGTATTTATTGGTATGTTGTTTGGCTTGAATCTCTTGATTTACAAATCTTCCACTGATTTCTGTCATAGTCAAGTGGGTAAGAGTCATCAAAAGATTCACATTCGCTTATAAACGTAGATGACTCTGCCACAGGATGAACAGTGGTGCTCCACATCTTGACAGGAATCAACGCAGAATGGGATACAACAGCAAAGAAAGCACCTGTAGGTGGAAAAAAGCACTTGTAATGTTAAGGTTTTCTTAAGATCAAAGATGTGTCTCAGCTCTTTTAGAGTTTTAGCTTGAAAATCCTCTACCTAAATGGTTGTATTTACCCAAAGAAGAAGAGGCCTCCACAAATAGCCCACGTCAGCAGGCCCGGGGTGTGTTGTGTCCTGGTGATCACTGCCTGGTGGCAGTGAGGACACACAGTTTGTCCAGGAACATCCTGTAGCCTCGGTGTTACTACAATGTTAGTCACTGAGGAACAGAAATGTGTAAAACACAAAATAAAGGTGTTTATTCCTATTATTTCTATTAACCTTTGTTTCCATTTTAAAATTCAAAGCACAGTCGAGCTTCATAGACTGGCTTTAAACTGACTATCAAACTGGCAGTGAGGATCTCATGTCTGTTGCATCTTGCAGCAGACATTTGCAAGATGCAGGCTGATGACCAGAACTCGCCTGCAAAGGAAAACCAAACAACCCTCAAAACTTCCATAAGGAGCCACCTTATGTTGATTGATCTCAAGCCAACTTCCTGCAGCTGGCCTGCTCCTATTACTTAACTATAACCAAACCCAGTGTGGTTTCAAATCATTCGTCAAGTGTGTGACCCTTCACTTGCATTACTTAAGTCAGTGGAAATGTGTTCCCCATCCTTGCCTTGTATCAACAGCTAAGACTCGACATCACCACTGGAGGGTGCAAGTAGCAAGCAGTAGTGGTTGCAGTAGTAAGTTGTGGGTGGAAAGGGGCTTTTTTTTTTTTCAAAGCCTTTCTGTTGTCTTGTATTTTAAAGTAATGAGCCATTCAAGCACCAAGGTTTCTAGTAGCAGATGTCCAGCACAGCATAGACCAGTAATATAGTCTAGAAGTAGAAGACTACTGGTATTAGTAGTAGTATATAACTGTACAACTGTGACATAGTTAATGTTTTACATGTGTTTAACACACAAATGTGGCTTTGGAGTGAATTCTTATGCATCTATTTCAAAAGGCAGGACTCAGGATGTGACTGCACATGAGGTGAACTCTGAACAATTGCTTTTCCCTGTAGAGAGGCTACAAACAAGCCTATTCTTCAGATCAGTTTGATATGAGACCAAGAATTTCAGCCAGTGTCTACAGAGGCAGCTCTGTTCACTTTACACGCTGGAGCAGATGCACATTCATTTTTTTAACAGCTTTTTAACAGCTGTGAGAAGTTACACTTTAACCTTTTAATGTTTTTATTTTCCCATGATGCATATTTGCATGCAAGAGTTCTGAGAAATCATACAAAGACATGTAGGTGTACTTTACAGGATCAGGTTGCCTCACCTGTTGTGACAGGTGCACCCGGTGCAGGAGCAAAAACACCGCCTGTTAAACAAAGTACACAAGTCATCACAACAGGGACGAATATACATACGTAAATAAGTACTTTACTATACTGTTTGAAGAGAACTGTCACTCTATAATTTATCTCTTTAATCTTTAATCTCTTTCATTTGTGTATTTAAGAAAACACATAACAACAAAGGTTTATTAGAATATTTTGGTATGAAAAGCAGGAATAATTTGTGAGTGCAGACACAGACCTGGCTGATATCCTGGAGGAGAAGGTGCTGGCTGAGGGTACATCCCTGGTTGAGGGTACGTCCCTGGTTGAGGATACGTCCCTGGTTGAGGATACGTCCCTGGTTGAGGATACGTCCCTGGTTGAGGATACGTCCCTGGCTGAGGCATTCCTTGTCCATAGTCCAAGGGTGGGCCGGGGTAAGGTGGAGCTGATTCCTGTGGTGGATATCCTTTTTCCATCTTCAGAAATGTAAACTGAAACTGAATAAGTACAAATAAAAACTTCAGACATATTGATCTAAGTTTTCTGGCACTGCAACACAGTATTTGAGATTTGTGTCACTTTCAATGAGTGACGAGGAACTTGTAATTTGCTTTGTCCAATGCAAACAGGAGGCAAAATATTAATTGCATTTGTTTATGCAAAGGTTTGTGTGTGACAACCAGTTATATGGTTTCAGAGGAAACATTAGCAGATGTAGGTGTGAGCTAAAGCTTTTTAAAAGCTAACCACAGCATCACATAAATATTTCCAGTGGTTGATATCCTTCTAATGGTTTATGAGGTTAGTATCTGACTATTGCTCAGATACTGAGCTCATTACCCAGTGTAGCACAAAAAATATGTTAAGAGGCCCTCCAATCTGTAACCACAAGTATTCAACTCAACTCAACGCAACACAATGGCAGTGGGGGGTTGTAGTTTTTCTGCAGTTTATATTATAAATATTTAATATTTAATATAATGCTAGATCCGCCCCTGCACAGTTACCAGCCGTCAGCTACGTAGAAAAGGATCCTGGTGTAGAAAGTATATTAAATAAATTCTAACAAGGTTATCAAGGTTAAACGTGCTGCTGTTGTTCAGCCGCTGGTTTCCTCTTTCTGGCACGAAGTGGGCCAAAAACAAGCAAAAGAGACGAACTTGCGACAGAAAGGCCGATCAGCTGATCATTGATCAGTTTCATGAGTGAGGTAGCAGCAGGAAGGGGAGGGAGAGAGAAGAGGGAGTCGCTCCATATATCGGTTGTTAAGCTTAACGCGGGAATGCTTTACAAACATTCAGAGATGAACTTACACACTTGCTCTACTTCTCTCTGGGATCACTTCCTCGGAGATGAAATGCTGTTTTGGTAGTGAGGCTACAAATACACACAGCCTCTATCACGTGAGCACACTGCTCCCACGCTACGGTTATGAGCTGAGTCACGCCAGTGTCGCAAGTTTTGTGAGGTGCTTTTTTGATATTTAAAGGATCGGATTACATTCTTTATTTCTCTCCGATATCCGATCCAGTAATGTAGGTCAGTATCGGACCGATACCGATACGTAATATCGGATTGGTCCATCTCTAGTTGAAACTTATCATAGTAACTCCTGAAAAAAAGATTCAGTAAAATTGTGGTTCTGTATGAAAAGTAACTGCCCCATTAACCTAACAAATGGTTGTACCGCCCTTGGCAGCAGGAACTGCAATCAAGCATTTGAGATAACCTGAACTGAGTCTTTTACAGCACTGTGGAGAAGTTTTGGCCCACTCTTCTAAGCACAATTGTTTTAATTTAGCCTCATTGGAAGGTTTCTAAAATGAATAGCCTGTTTAGGCCACACCAAAGGATCTCAACTCAACAAAGTCTGGACTTTGACTAGACTGGGCAATAATCTTTATTGTCTAGAGCTTCAGCCTATGAGCTGAACTGGAAATTCTCCTTTAGGATTTTCTGGTAGAGAGCAGAATTCGTGTTTCCATCAATTACAGCAAGTCCTTCTGATGCAGAAAAACAGCCTCACACCACCACACTACCACCAACAAGTTTGACTCTTAGTGTGAAATATGATATTTCCCATAAGTCTCGAGGATCATCAACATGTTTCTTGGCAAATCTGAGACGAGACTTCATGTTCTTTTTGGTCAGGAGAGGTTTTCTCCTTGAACTCTTCCATGGGTGCCATTTTTTACCCTATCTCTTTCTTATTGTTGAATCATGAACTCTGACTTTAACTGAGCTGAGTGAAGCCAGCAGTTCTTTAGATGCTGTGCTAGGTTATTTTGTGACCTCCTGGATGAGTCTTCAATGCACTCAACCACTCCTGGGAAGGTTCACCACTGTTCCAAGTTTTCTCCGTTTGTGGAAAATGGTTCCAAAGTCTTCAAGCCTTAGAAATTGCTTTGTAACCCAGATTGAAAGATGACTGTTTCATGGCATGGTGTGTTGCTTTTTGAGGGGTTTTAGCCTATTTCACATCATCAGGCAGCTTTATTCATACAGGCGCAGGTAGTTTTGAAGAACTTTTTTCCCTTTATAACCAAAGTCATTACTTTAAAAGTTATATCTGTCTAATATTAAAATGTGTTTAATGATCTGAAACATGTAAATGCACAAAAATAAGAAATCAGGAAGTGGGTAAATACTTTTCCATAGCACTGTATATATAGCGCAGTCATCTGAAGTACTAATAACAAAGAAATACTCTCTCCAACATAAGCAAATACCTTAATGATAAAAAGTAATATTTACTAAGTGTTATTCAAGGGTTCAAGTAAAGTGGCTCCAAAAATGTTCTTCCTGAATGTTACAATTTTATATAAAATACTATGAAAAAAACTCAACTAAGACGGGTTGCTCATATAGTTGGTGTGTTTTTTTGTGGTTTTTTTGTGGTTTTAACTTTGACAGTGTTTTGTATTTTAGAAATTAAATCTTAATCCACATCTACACAGAGCTGAAATGAACTGAAGTACCAAACAGGAAAGTAACAATAACGAAGCTATGCTACTGTGTAACACATTTACTTAGTTTGTGAGACATGATGCAATCCGGTTTGAATGCACTTTACTCAGTTTGAGTCCTGTTGTACATTGACTACAGATTACTGGTCTTAGTCTCTTTTTATAATACAGAGCCTACATTGTGTACCGTGGGCTGGTCAGTGTGGTAGGAAAGAGGCCCAGTCAGTCCAACCAAGCCTTTCTGTATCTTGCTCTAAATCCATCCTAAATCAATTACAGAGAGCTACGAGCCACATAAACTAATGAGGCGCTGTCATTCCCCCGAGCACACCCTGTGCGCCTCATCCAGTTTTGTTTGAATGTTCTTTCTGAATAAGCGTTAGTGTTGACGAAGCTATGAAGCATAACTACAGAAGAAATACCTTTTTTTCCCATTTCTGTTCTACAAAAGTACATAAAAAAACAGGCAGTCTAACTATGAACCAGGAAGAAACTCATCCTTATTTGACAACAAACGTAAAACAACATTAACTTACCTCTTATCTCACCAAAAAAAAAGTTTTTTCCTGGAGCTCTCTGTCAGTGCCTGAAGGGGAAACACAGTAAAACCACAACAGGAAGGTCCATACAGAGTACCGATGGACACGACTGCTACAAAATCTTGTAAACCAACAGAGAAGAAGCGTATTTCCTCGGTCAGCTTTGGAAGGCTTTTGAGCTGTGGATCTGTTAGTCTTCACTCTCTGTTTCCCGTTCGCTCCCTCCTCCCCTCATATGTAACTGGGTGTGTCAGAAGAAGAAGAAATGAAGAGCATTTCCCTGTTCGCTCAGTTATTGTTTAGACGACCCATAAAAAGCACAGCCATAAGATATATGAGCACAAATATGAAAAGACAGGGAGAGTGTGTCCCGCTGCTGAGAATAAAGTGTTCCTTGTTCACCACAATTCGTCTTATCAGTTTTAGCCTGTGTCTACAGCCCTGCCTACGTGCTTAAAAAAACTACGCACGCATAGAGTCCGATAACAGCATGAATCATCTCACTTAACATCTGGAGATCAAGAAACAAGATTTATTTTCATGTGAACCGTTTTTGTTTTGTTATTTTCTTAGACTTTGGTAGTGTAAACCAATCAATGCATGGTACAGCTTTTGGTTTCTGTATTCTTGTTTTTTTTTTTGCCTACATCTGTGGTTTCCTGTGGTTTTGACTTCCTCAGTAAACTCAGTAAATGAAAACTTATGTGGCCATATTTTCTTTCACATCCAGCCTTGCTCTTTAGAAGCACAATGAGAAAACAGAATTTCGTAAGGACATTCTCAGTCTTCCAAAACAGTTTGAATGTGCTGACAAAAATGTGCTCAACCAGATTTACAATACAAGAAATAATGTTGTACTGAATAATAGAATAGCAGCTATATAAATGCCTGCTATTCTATTATATATCCACTTTCCTCTCAGGTGCTACGTGCTTTTACATGAATATTTGTTTCTCATTTCCTGCATGAGTGTTGTACGTTTACTTCCACATTTTTGTGATTGCTTCCATTTGCCCTCTAAACACATCACTTTGACACACCAAGGTCTTGCGATATTCAGGAAAGGACGCTGAGAGGTTCACGGGACTGTTACAATAACATTACTCATCACTTCTGGAAGACACTGCAGTGTCCGAGTATGAGTGCAGCCGGCCTGACCAGTGTCTGCTTTCAATTTACGACCACTAGAGGTCAGCATAATTCCAGTGTTGCAACACTGTTTTTTATTTCCTCTAAACTTAGGGAGCAGTTCAAGCATCCTTCAGACTGGAGAGTGCGCCAGCACACAAAGAGTATCTCAAGCATCCGGTAATTGCAACATAGATTGGTATTTCTTGGGAATCAATTCCAGACTTAAAACTAGTGTGATATCAGGCTTTAATATAAGAAATGTTCCTGTTTCGTGCCATCAGACAGCACTAGATTACTTTAAGCAGAACAATGATTGTTCATTGACCATAAACAAAGGTTTGCATACTGTAGACTGTATTATATGCTAATCTTGAAGTCCATCCATTCATTTCCTTCATTACTCAGGGCCACAGGTGAGCTGGAACCTAGCCTAGCTGTTGGAGAGTAAAAGGCGGGGTACACCCTGCACAGGGCACCAGTCTGTTACAGGGCTAACACATAGAGACAGCTAAGCTTTCAAGCTCACATTTACATATGATCCATTTACAATGGTCATACAAATATATATTCATAAAGTAACAAAGGAGTAAACATTTGCTTTTTTTAAAAAAGAAAAAAAGTGCGAGGAGCCAGACATTTATAGGACAATCTAATCTAGCGCTACTGGTCTGAATGTTAGTGATGTGCGATACCACTGATTTCCTTTCCGATCCGATACCAAGTAATATTCAGGGTGGTATCGACGATACTGATCCGATACCGATACTTTGTACAAAAACGTATTTTATTTATTGTATCTCAAATTATAGCTCATAATGATTACAGGACATCAGATTACTTGTTCTTATCACTTAATAATGCAGAATTCATCATATAGAAATAAAAAACTTGAATTGTGCTATATTGAACACCTTGCCTGCCTGCAGCACTAAAGGACTCCGTGAGAGACGTCTGTCTCCCCTAGCAGCACCTGTCCTGTCCATCCTCCTCTTCAGTTCGCCTCAACATACGCTCGTCATATTCTGTGATATGATTTACTCTGAGGTGTTTGACAAATTTGTGGTGTTGCCACAACACCTCACTTCTTGCAAACCACGTCTGTGGATGTAAAATACGCACATAACTCCAGTTACGCTCAGTCATTGTTCTGAGTGCGCACGCCAGAGGCTGCGACACATTTATACAGCCGTATTTCGCACATGACGAGTAGTAGTAGTTCCTTCTAATGTAGACAATCCGAATGAAATAGGTTCTTCCCACTGTGTTCCTGTTAATGATAAACTACAAATTTACCCGAAATTACTAAAATATCGATATTTTATGTGAGAATCGATTCTAGAACATACAGTGGCTTGCAAAAGTATTCACCCCCCTTGAACTTTTCCACATTTTGTCACATTACAGCCACAAATATGAATCAATTTTATTGGAATTCCAGGTGAAAGACCAACACAAAGTGGTGTACACGTGAGAAGTGGAACGAAAATCATACATGACACAAAAAAAAAGATTTCCCAAGCCTTGAACATCCCACGGAGCACTGTTCAAGCGATCATTCAGAAATGGAAGGAGTATGGCACAACTGTAAACCTACCAAGACAAGGCCGTCCACCTAAACTCACAGGCCGAACAAGGAGAGCGCTGATCAGAAATGCAGCCAAGAGGCCCATGGTGACTCTGGACGAGCTGCAGAGATCTACAGCTCAGGTGGGGGAATCTGTCCATAGGACAACTATTAGTCGTGCACTGCACAAAGTTGGCCTTTATGGAAGAGTGGCAAGAAGAAAGCCATTGTTAACAGAAAACCATAAGAAGTCCCGTTTGCAGTTTGCCACAAGCCATGTGGGGGACACAGCAAACATGTGGAAGAAGGTGCTCTGGTCAGATGAGACCAAAATGGAACTTTTTGGCCAAAATGCAAAACGCTATGTGTGGCGGAAAACTAACACTGCACATCACTCTGAACACACCATCCCCACTGTCAAATATGGTGGTGGCAGCATCATGCTCTGGGGGTGCTTCTCTTCAGCAGGGACAGGGAAGCTGGTCAGAGTTGATGGGAAGATGGATGGAGCCAAATACAGGGCAATCTTGGAAGAAAACCTCTTGGAGTCTGCAAAAGACTTGAGACTGGGGCGGAGGTTCACCTTCCAGCAGGACAACGACCCTAAACATAAAGCCAGGGCAACAATGGAATGGTTTAAAACAAAACATATCCATGTGTTAGAATGGCCCAGTCAAAGTCCAGATCTAAATCCAATCGAGAATCTGTGGCAAGATCTGAAAACTGCTGTTCACAAACGCTGTCCATCTAATCTGACTGAGCTGGAGCTGTTTTGCAAAGAAGAATGGGCAAGGATTTCGTCTTAGATGGCAAAGCTGGTAGAGACAAACCCTAAAACAGCGGTCTCCAACCTTTTTGCGCCACGGACCGGTTATGCCCGACAATATTTTCACGGACCGGCCTTTAAGGTGTCGCGGATAAATACAACAAAATAAAACTAGTACCGGTACCGAAAAAAAGAAGATTTATTCATAACACACTGAAAAGACCCAGGAAAACCGAGTTAACGATAAAAACGATAACAAAATAACGCTGAAAACCGATAAAAACCCTGAAAACCATACATTTCACACCTGAGCCTCAACTCTCGCGGCCCGGTACCAAACGACTCACGGACCGAGTGCAAAGGCTGGTAGAGACAACCCTAAAAGACTGGCAGCTGTAATTGCAGCAAAAGGTGGTTCTACAAAGTATTGACTCAGGGGGCTGAATAATTACGCACACCCCACTTTCAGTTATTTATTTGTAAAAAATGTTTGGAATCATGTATGATTTTTGTTCCACTTCTCACGTGTACACCACTTTGTGTTGGTCTTTCACGTGGAATTCCAATAAAATTGATTCATGTTTGTGGCTGTAATGTGACAAAATGTGGAAAAGTTCAAGGGGGCCGAATACTTTTACAAGCCACTGTATGTTCTAGAATCGATTCTCACAGTAAAATATCGATATGTAAATGACTGGTATCGGAGGAATCGATATTTCAGGATCAATCCGCACATCACTACTGAATGTGGCAAGTGTTTGACATTTTTGCACGGAAATCAAATCCTGGACAGTTTAACAATGAGCAAGTAGCTGCAGCTTGTTTGTGATTGAAAATAAAGACAAAAAAATAATGCCTTGTTTTACTTTATTTTATTTTAATTTACTGAAAGTTAGGGCATAGTATATATTATTCTGAGGGAAAAGTGAATTTAACCCCTTTAACTTCCACCCGTGTTGCAACAACTGATTCATAGTGTCTGTCATAATCACACAGGAAATCTTGCAAAGTGAACCTGTTCACTAAATGTGATTTTCTTTTCTTCATCAGATTCAACCCAGAAGGTATTTATGTCTCACCCTGGGGTTAAATCAGTGATCTTTTTCTTTTTAGGTGAATGTGTAAACCACTATGCTACTTCATTCAGTGCATATTTTCACAATACTAACTTATCTCCCCAGGTAAAAAAGCAGATAAGAGCTCTATTAAAATATTATAGTGTACAGATCATAAAACAGTGTTGGAAAGGTTTAGTCATCAAATTGAGCTACAGATGGAAGTTGCTCCAGTTTTAAACAAAGTAAGATCAATTACAGATTACAGTCCAAATACTTTCATACATACAAAAAACAGAAATGGAAAATATGTCAAACAAAATTAGAAAAATAGTGTGGTGTTCCTTTACTTAAGTATATATTTAGACAAACACTCTTGACACCAAGGTTAATTTAAGATTACAGCATCCATCAACAGCAGAGCAGGGCAGGAGGCAACTCCCAGGGAACGTTTGCACAGATTTGTGTCCACGTTTGTGACCTCAGAACTCAGGCCCAACCATGGGACTCAATGGACGGCAAGCATAAGTGTTTGTTTCTGTTCTAAGAACAAATGAGCTTGTGGTTCCTCTTCCTTCCCCTCACTCACACGTCTAATACAAACACACACTGGGTGGGTGTTGGGGTTTATTTGCCTGCGCTTGGTACATGGCTGGCAGTGATTGGTTTAAGCTGCACATTTTTCAAAAGCCACACTGACACAGTTTCACAGAGCTTGATATTGTTTCCTCCAACATCTCTAGAAACTAACATTTAACAAAATCCCCAGTGATTTGTGTCTTTTTCCATTTTGAGAACATTTGAGGACTTTGCGGCCTATGACCGTACCCCTGGGTGCTTTTCAATGATAAGTGGTGAATAGTGGGAATGCTGCGACCTAACTTGACCCAGCGATCATT